AGTTAGCAGGTGTTTGACCAAGAAAAACTACAATCTCACCATTATCAAGCCACCACTTACGCTGGTCTGAGCTAGGAGGAGGAAGGCCGGGGGCAATTGGCTCATCCGCCAAACCATCCTCATCAATATTCTCAGACACCACGCTCGTGGTGGCAGCTTCTCTGCGGCGTTTCTGTTCCGCATAAAGCGTAGCTGCCATCCCTTCCTTCAATTTCGTATCCACGATTGTTATGCCACATTCAAATATCGAATAGACTGGTCGATGATCCGAAAATTTCAATGGCGCCGTTTGATACTCTAATTGCCGTATATTTGCCCCCCTCCATAGAATTCGGTCGCACCAGGCCGGAATTCTCCTCTTCTCACTAATAAAACCAATGAGCCGTCTATTTCATTTATTCATAGCTAGATATGCAACCACTCACGAAGTATCATAATTATCGGTGCCGTTGTCATATCTGTATGTTGGTGGGAAAATAATAGGCCCCTCCATATAATATGGAAACGCAATCCCAGCAACCATTTGTAGATTAAGCTGCAAATTTTAGCTAGTAGCCCACGATGATAAGGGTTTGTCAGACTGTCTTCCTTACCTGATCATTGTGGTATAGGTTCTCAAAATCCCCATCCTTGATAAGCGATCTCACTTTGCCATCAGAAAGACCGATTCGATAATTAAAATCGCCGAACCAGATTATAGCGTCATGGTCTGCGATGGTCCTATTCCGCTGAAATCGTAAGCCTTGAGCAATGGTTTGAAAGTCGCGGTTTCTCTCCTCGTAATTGGAAAACCCAGCTGCCAGATGGGCCGTGATGAAGCAGATCCTAGTGTTGTAGTACTCTAGACGGATAGCACACCCTCCCTTATTACCACCCATGCCCGACAAGCCAGTCTGCAACCCTTGGTTAACTCAAACACGATTGTCAATTTTAAAGAAGTTGGATATCAACACACCTTTTTCACGTTTCCTTCAACGTTCTTGATTTTATGGACAACGTCGCTTTTAGCAAACAAAAGGAGCGCAGCGCCAACTAGCTGGCCACTGCGTAGAAGAACATACTCAGTCGTGCCTCTCTTCTTAGTCCTCTCATTGAGTGATGCCTTCACTGCTTCCTCCCATACTATGCGGGTAGTTGGATCAGTTGACATGATTTGTTGAGGGCTCAGCTCTACAATTTCCTGGAACCCGACTCCTACTATCGCTGGATCTTTGTCGAACCTATCAAGAGAGCCATGAAGCCAGGGCCCAAGATCTTCACTGGCCCCGTGGCTGCGTCCATTCAGATTGAATGTTCCAACCCAGATCAATATCTTTTCATGAGTGGTAAACTCATCAATTCTTCTATTCACTTCGGAGTCAACGAAGTCTTTTATAGGGTCAAACAGATGCACGGATGCCTGGCCCATTAGAGTCCCCAGAAGCATATCTATAGTGTTCTGTTTCGCGTTATCAGTAAAATTATTGATGTATAAGCGAGTTGCACTTTTACGGGCGTCAGCAATAGCACCGGCAAACGACATCTTGCCATATCGAGTAAAAGAAGACTTCAGAGCTCCGGTTCCGGCGTAAATTTTAGACAACACATCTCCATTATCAGCCCACAAGGTTGAATGTCTAGTCCAAAAGTCAGGGTTAGGATTGCCTCCCCGCTGGCCGAGAAATTGCTCCAGTGCTATTTGGCTGATGATGGTTTGAACGAGATTTGTTCTGTCAAGACAATCTAAGCAATTGGTCCGGAAAACACCTCCCTGTTGCAGCACAATATCTTGCGGGCGATCTTTCAAATTGGCAACTGAGGTGGCACCGACGGAAGTCTCGGAAAGGAAGTAGTCAAAACCTTCAATCGAATGCTCAATCTCGTGTCTAATCGCTATGGCATTATGGTACCCTGCTGCTCCTCTTGTTTCTGCATGGAAGTCATATTCCGTAAGGAATAAAATATCGTGTTCCGATGTCACACCCGATTCACGATTCTGCCTCAAAGGACTACGAGAGATATGGTAATGATATCGTTCTGACAACTCTGCCTCTGCGTATTTTTCCCTGGTGAGTAGGTTGACGGCATGAACAGCCCCGTAGTCTGAGGCCAGGTTAGCAAAATGTTTATTAAAAGCAGGTTGCGTAGCTCCGATTGACCGAGTGACGCTTAATTTCTGCTGGCCGGGGATCAGGCCTGGGGATTGCTCCCAAAAGATTGGGACTGAACCCCGGACCTGTGTATATGAGAAACATAAACCAGTTGGGATCCATAACAGGGTTTCGCTCTCTACAAAATTGGAGACATTTCCATCATCATCGATACCTCGAGAATTGAATCTTGTGCCAGCCCTACGGGAGGCTAAGCGGGATATTATTGTTAGATTGGATGCTCGCTTGGACTCAATATTCTTGAAAACGGATGCAGCTGATGGGATTGTGAGCGAGCCGACGAACCCCCGGATGATGGAGGTTAGGATTTTAGAGTCATCTAGACGCTGACGGTCACTGGTGGAAAGTTGAGACCGGAATTGGAGAAGGGGGCCAATCATGTATGAATTCCACAAAAAGTCTTCATCGAGACTTTCAATATCAAAAGAAGTATCTTCAACGCTATGGGAAGAGAGAGAATATCGTTATTACCTAGTAGGATGGGGGTTTATAACATAGTTAGAATGGCATGTGGGCTTACCGGTCTTGGAGACGATTAGTTAGGTTGAAATCCAGACTGTAATAAAAACTGCCATCGTCCAGGAGTTTCTTTAAGGCAGCAGATGGGTTTTCGGGTGCGATATCGTAGCCTTGATAGGATGTGCCATAATTCCGTTCATCCTGATACTGGCGATACGTCATGCGCGATTCACCGTCACCAACTATGTCATAGTCTGGTCTGTTCAAGCAATCTGTATTAAGATGTTAGCCAAGTTTTCAGTTAAAGGTATTGGTATATATAAAAAGAAAGAAAACAGGGTAGGAGGGGAGGGGTGTAATACAGAATTCAACAGCGACTATCCTTTCAACGGTCTCACCAGGCCTTACTTCGGCAACGGTTGTAGCTCGAGTAATGACACAGATAAAGATGTCACTATTCAAGGTGATAAGACCCAAGGTACCGTATCCCGAGCCCAGCCTGCGATAGTCCATAATCCCAAGGGAAGGATCGACTTTTTTGAAGGTAACTATACATTTTGGCGGATGTAGATGCGAGTATGTACTGGTGGAATTGGAATCTGATATGGTTGGCACGTATTGCAAGCTGAGAGCCTGACCGTTCGCCACCAACATGAGGGTGCGCTCTGGCTCGTCCTTACACAGCACGAGCAGAGGCATCGTGAAAGATGTACTCTCCCAATTCAATGATAAAGGTTTCCTAGAGAGCACGAACTATCTCGAGAGGGATATGCGCATAGTATTTGTTGGCGATCCACAGAGAGATTTGAGTTCAGGTATCATATCATCAACTCCTGGCAGCGCGCGCGCTCAGGAAAGGCAAATGTTCCAGGGGCGCAGCTAAGGAAAGCGAGCTCCGTCGATGTCGGCAGGAGTCAACAAGCTGCAGGAAGGTGGTGTAACTGCGGGCTTTCTGTGCTGCGCGCCAGATGGATAAAATAGTTGAGGTTTTGACGATGTGGTTGAGGCGGAAAGTTGGCAGGCGTGCACACCAACCGTTAACTCACAAAAACTCACAAACAGTGACTGCAAAAATCGTTATTTAGTAGACAAACTGTACCTGGTTGTGACAGTGAACCAGTGCTTCCCGGGAGTTAGAAGTTTATTGACGATGAGCTACTAATTGCCTTTACAGGCGGGATACAACTACACATCGTTAAACTCCTAGGACCAATCCGGACAATTTTTTTTGAATGCTGGTTATATTCGAAATAAATAGTTTAACAACCATCGGAGAATAGTTATAATACAATAAATAATAATAATTGGATAATTAGAATCAGTGGCACACAATTCCGGACAAATCCGACAAAACTCTCTCTCCCACATCAAGCAAGGCGTTGCAGCTAGTTGGTAGCCTGGAACGGCCAACATCATTTTCCTTCATGGAAACTTTAGCCAACCCCTCACGCGATAATAAAGAAACCCCCTCTTGGGAAGAAGGAAGAAGAGATCAAGGCGGTTAGCGAAGGGTAGCTATTGTCTTTGCCAGGTTCTCTTTGACGATGTTGCTTGCAGCTTGGTAGGTGGTTTCTAGCGACTGCAACTTGGTAGCGAGTCCATTTTCTAGCTCTAGCTTCTTCGTTACGAGTTCGGATAGCTTCTCCATCTGTGCCTTACGATATTCCACCCTGTGGAGACGTTAATCAAATAAACAATAGGCCAGTTAAAAACATGCATGTGTGTCCCGGTATCAATTGGAAATGGTTAAGAGTTTTAGCGGCAGCCAACTTGTTTATCATCACCTACCTAGCCATTATACTAGTGCGAGATGTCTCCTGGAGTCGGTCTTCAATCTTCTTCACGCTATTCCTATGATGAGCCTGGAGTGTTTGGCGACCATCGTTATGAGTTGTCTTCTTTGTCTGAACCTAGACGGAGAACAGGACATGTTAATAATAGCCTGGGGAGGGCAAGGCATCGCAATTTCCGAGCATATCTAGTAAAAAAAAAAACAAGCAACTTCTTGCAATGGCATGGCATATGCTGCTCACGGAATGTTTCAGTCTCCTGAGAATATCAGCGGTAGCGTCTGGTACAGAACCGGCTATTGATTGTTCGCTTCCACTATCAGCTGTGACGGTTCTCTTACGAGCCCGGGGGCGGGTGTTAGTGCGTCGACCAAGGGAAGCCTGTTTCTGAGCCATTGTATTTGCATCGACAGTGTTTACTTCGGGTGCACTCCGTATATGTATGGATGTAGATGTTTGTTAATAGTATTCAGTTCGGGTTCCAGGCTCAAAGTGACAAAGTATTAACTATGTGGAAAGCAAACAGTGCAAACGTGAAATAATGAAGGAGATAGCAAACAGTGCAAACATGGTAGAAAATGAAAGAAAAAAAAAGATAACGGGGTCTTGCCGTGGATCGAACACGGGACCTCTTGCACCCTAAGCAAGAATCATACCACTAGACCACAAGACCGTGGAGATTACTAATCCCTTGATGCACTTCAACATGACGGACTAAACAATCATACTTGTTTCAATTTTTTTTCTTTTCCACAAAGTCCTGATCAGAGAATTTGATTTTACCTTCCACCCAAACTCAGTTTAGACTCTTTCAGTTCGACGCTCCCTCCTCCCATAATACTGCTGACTGAGCCACGGAGCTGTCTAGGTAAAGAAATGGGTGGTTAATGATTTCGGAGAGTCGAGAAGACCTCAAATGAACTCCTTTTCAGGCAGTACCTCGCCAGTACTCCATATTTCACTCTTTAACCGGTTGGTTGGTTAACGCTTTGAGTGTGAGGTCAAGGGAGCCTGGTCGCGGATTTCCCAAAAGGGGTTAGGAATGGTGGTGGAAGATGATTCCAAGATGGAGTGGAACCACTTAACTTCATCGGTCTTGTGGTCTAGTGGTAGTAAGTCTACCCAACGTCCCTCCAAGTTCACCCAACCCTACTAACTGGGTTCCCTTAGTGATTCCTGCTTCGGGTGCAGGAGGTCCCGTGTTCGATCCACGGCAAGACCCCTTTGAATTTTTTTTTCCTACCTTGAATACAGCAATAGTAATTCGTCCTTTCTTGTATTTTATTTCTATTCCTCATTTCTATTCATATCAGATAGTTATACAGCCTCTAGTACGGAGTACTCAAGTGTACAGAGCAGTTCAGTTCCCTCCAGAGAAGAATCAGACGAAATCAGGAACAAGCACATGGGCAACCGTGGATGACATAATCGTGCCCTAACAACAAACAGAGCAAACACTCGGTCAATACTGTAGGAAAAAAAAATTTGTTGAAGGGACTTACTTCAACAGCAATTAGCATAGTTTATCCCGCCCATCCATATCATACATATTTCCTCTACTACAATGGGGCTCGCTGGACCGAGAAAGTGTGTAAATCCCTCGTACAATTATAGGGTAAATCCACGCTTGCAACCATAACTAATACTATTCATGTAGGCGGACAAAAATCTCCCATGACCCAAACAACACCCAATGGTCGCGGTCGACCAACGGCTTCGGCCATAAAATCATGACATCCCACGGCTGGGCACCTGGAGACTATCTAGGCGCATCCAATAATGCCCGCGAAGACACCTACACAGCTGCCAGCGCCGGCCATATCCGAGTCATTCTCAAAGACGACAACCTTGGCCTAGGAGCGAGGCCTCGCCGTCTTCTTCAAGACGAAGAAGCTCCCGGGCTAGATGCATTCCAGGGAATCTTAGGACGACTTAATGGAGTCAGCGAAGTGCAATTGGCCGCCGAGCAGAAAATTGTAGAAGATAAGAAGATGATACGGTACATGCAGAGCCGGTGGGCATGCATGACCTTTGTCCCTGGAGGGCGTTTGGTGCCGGATAAAGTCAGCAAAATAATCAGGAAAGACAAGGACGATCTCAACGATAACAATAATGCGGATACGGATGTGCTGGTAGACAGCAAGAAACGCAAACGAAATGAAACCGACGATGAGAAGAAGCTGAGGAAAAAGGAAAAGTTGGAGAGAAAGAAGGAAAAGATGGAAAGGAGGGAGAGGAGGAGAGAGAAGAAAGAAAAGAAGGAAAAGAAGAGGGAAAAGAAGGAGAAAGAAAAGAAGGAGAAGCTGAAAAAGACAAAGACAGAGAACAAGGAGTAGAAGGAAAAATCCGACGTTCAGTTTTCTTCTCCCAGGATAATAAATTGGTAGCTACCTAGCTCCTGAGGGCATATAATCGACGAAATAACGGCTCTCTCATGACCGTCGATGGGATGGGGCGAGTAGTAACGACCTGCTACATAACGAAGGCCCCATCCGTTCCATGCGCTACTAGAAACGGACTGCAATGCCATGCGTATTTCCGTTAAACAAACGAAGCGCATCGAGTAAAAGATGATTCGTCACCCTCGAATATGATCTCTGACACAGAATAACATATTTATTCGAGGCAGAACAGAACAGTATCCGGAGCATCAGGCGTCACCATTGGTTTTTTTTATTTAATGTCTTGTCTAATATTCTGCGCTAGATACCACCTTCGATAGATACAACATAATATCAATGCATACATACAACGCATGTCCACTTTACAAAAAAAAACCCCGTTACAGTTAGAAATTGCATTCGGAGGCACTCTATTGTTGCTAAGACTTCATTGTATAATGTATGGTGACGAGGTTTTCATATTTCTACTACCTAATAATATCTTTCTCTTTTCTTGTTAGATACTCTATCTGTTCCGAATTCCAATCAGTAGTAGTACAATATTGGATAATTCTTACAATATTTCTTTTTGTAACTACTAGATATGCTATGATGACTGTTCGTCATTCTTATTGCAGCATTCGATGTGAGAACAAATTAATGAATTAATGGATGATCAAAGTGGCGGATTCTAAAGTAATGTGAACCAATAATTTCCATAATAGTTAAATCCTAGCCAGAATTGATAAATAACTCCAAAATGAACCTATGCCTCATAGAGCGGTTTAAACTCAACTCATATGGAGGGGTGTAAAAAGACCGACACAAAAGGAAAATATAGATAAGACGATAGCGACGGATTTTTGCTTCAAAATACAGAGCCAGAGTGTCAATATAGAGGAGTGTCTCGCACAAAATGCCCAGAGAGTAGTTATTGAAATGATTGATAGACTTGGTGTTTGTGGTTTTTTTTTTGGCTTTGTTGGACTCGCACAACCTAATGGGATATCTGGGAGAGAAAACAATATATATGCAGAGGGAGATATACCAAAGAAAAAAAAGACAAATCAAAGGAGAGAGATATTAAGTTAGATGAACTGAGGAGGATAATAGGTATAATGATTGATTGGCCATCTAACTTTGTGGGAAGTTGACTGGACCTGGAACCTCTCGAATAAGTCAACTTGTACATCGTGATAATCTAGTAAGCCTTGTCCCTCGACCAAATCAAGTCAAGTCATGTAGGGAGGGATGGAACTGCCAACAAGAGGTGAGGTAAGGAAGAAAAAAATTGTAGTTGATATCCTGATACATGTAGGATCTATCAACCGTTGTGGGCATGGGTTCGCTGGTTAGACGAGACTGCAACACCTACTTCCTCGTTCGCTTGGGATTGAGGATTGTTCTGTGGAATAAATGTCGGGCTTGACAAGGGGCTAGCATAGGCGGTGGGAATAGGCACAGCTCCATACGCTTGCTCACCAGGACCGGCAGCGAAATGAGACATTCTAGGACTCGATGGGGAATTGGCAACACTGCTCATACTGCCTGACCTGCCAGTGCCGTCATTGGATCGCAGCGGTGGTGGTTGAAGCTGGAATGGTCTGTGGGAAGCAGTAACTGCAACCGAGGGAGTTTTCACCTGGGCGTATTGAGTGTGAGTGCCGTCGTCGCTATCGACGTAGCTGCTCTCATGTTTGGTTGGTGGGTAGTATGTTGAGCCTGGGCTAAGTGGGTATCCAGGTGTGTTGGGAGCAGATTGCGAGCGCAAGTGTGAGAGGTATAGATCTGAACGGGCCTTGTCACGGACGTTCATGGACTTGCGTAGCTTGCGCTTCGAGTAGAAGCGGTAGAAGATCACGGCGTAGATGACGATGGTGATTATGTCGACGATGATTTCGATGATGATACAAATCAAAACCCAGTCCTGTGAAGAAGAAATGTAAGTTAACTATTTCACTTGATCGAGAGATGGAGGGAGGGATAACATACCTGCATACGACAGACGAGTCCATAATTGACTAATTCGTCGAATAACTCCCTTCGAGGGTTTTCCTTGCACGCCCAGCCCCATAAATCTTTACTCTGGCCAGTATTTTTGTCGTTCTGAAGTGTAGCTGCGGCCACAACCCATAGGATAACAGTGAAGGCGAACATGAATACGGCAAAGACAGTGTAGTAAACACCGACTTTTTCTGCTCGGCGATGACCACCGCGACAATAGCCATAAAACACAGCAATAGATAAGAAGACGGATATCGATGCCACAACGAGAATGAGGATTTGAGGCCAAGGGTTTGTGTTTGGAGCCCAAGGCATGAGATTGTTCCTCGAAGGGAGGTTCCTTGTGGCATGGAAAACAGCAAAACTTGCTCCAACCAGGGCTAGAATGATCAAGCTGCAGGAGAAGCTGACTCCACGAAGGAGGATCTTGGACAAGCGCACGCGAGTTTTAATTTTCTAGAAGTGAAGTTAGTATGAGCTTTCATATAAATTGAGTGAGGTTTGATTAATGTGATAACTTACAACATCCTTTGCGTTCTCCCTCTCGGTTTCCTTCTCGTGGAACTCGAGAATCTGTTCCTCTCGAAAGGTTGGGCTCATTGGATTGCCTCCAACTCCAAAGCGGCCAGGGGTTCCTGGAGATTTGAGAGCGCTTTTCAAGGGGGAATTTAGAGGTCGCATGGTAGCGTTTTGAGGGGCGTCTGGGAAGGATACATTGCGTGAGGGTTGGTTGTCAGCAACGTATCCAAAGCCGACGTCTGAGACCTTGGGTGGATGAGAAGATTCTGATTCGGTTGACATGGCGGGCGAATCTGAAAAGGGGGATCGGACTGGAGGATTGGTTGAGGGCTGCTGGTGGTCGCCTTGTTGGGACGAGGTGCTGTGATTATCGCTGTGGGTAGAAAAGCCGACTACCCTGGAGGACGGGCGTGGTTGTATTATATCAATTGGAGTGACTGGCTGTTCGTCGGCGTGGTAGCCGTTGGAGTTGAAAGCTGGCATAGCAGTGGAAGATAATAAAAAGGGAACCGGCCCGTTCTCGACACTGCTATTCAGACCTGAAATGAATGGTTAGCGAAGGGAGGAGAGGAGAGAGAGAAAGAGAGAGAAAGAGAGAGAGAGAAATAGAGAGAGAAAGAGAGAGAGAGAAATAGAGAGAGAGAGAAATAGAGAGAGAGTATATGTAAGTCTTACAAGGCTGGAGGGTAGGACAGCTAATAGAATCGATTGGATGTCTCTGTGTTTCTGGAGCAAGTGAAGAGAGACAAGAAACAACAATTAAATGGCTCGAAACCAGTCGAAGCCGATATTAAGACGGGAGGCGCTTAGCCAGAGAGAGGATGGTTGTATCTGATTGTGTCTGTCTGGCGGCGTCACTCAAAGAAGGGAACTCGAGAAGTGAACTCGAGGAGTGAAGCTGAAACGGGAAGAACAAACAGAAGGACGAAGGAAGAGGATGAGAGGGAGAAGGAGAGAGAGAGGAAGAGAGGAGGGAGAAAGGGAGAGAGGGAGAGAAAGTATAGAAAAGTAGGATGAGCAGGATCAATTGGTTGGAGGGGTGCCTGGTGAAATTGCGAACAAGAGCGCAACAACCAATGAGGGGAGAACAATCAGCAGGAAGAAAGATGTTAGCCGCCACTAAGAGACATCTAGATCCTGTGAGTGGGAATCAATCTGAGGGTATCAAGTAAGTAATTATTGGGAGAGAATAATAGTTCAAATCAACTGGGAGGACAGAGGAGAGAGGAGAGAAGAGGAGGATGAAAAGGTTTATGCGGCCTCCCAGCCTTCCCTTCCTCCCCTTCAACCAATCCATGTTGATTTGCTGATTGATGCA